AGCAGGGGGTTGGACTAGATGACCTCCTGAAGTCCCTTCCAATCCTGTATTCTATGATGCTCATGTGGTTGGATTTGGTTATGCACCAGCAGTTCCTTTCCTTGGTGTGAATAAAACTTACGCTGAAGGGCATGAGTTCAGGCTGGTGCAGGAAGGTGTAACTTATTCCTTCCTGTAGCAACAAGAATGAATCTGGCCTGAAATATTTATTCATTTCCTTGGCTTTAACATAGTTTTCCTTTCTGTAGTATGTCTGTGCATGCTGCTTTTCTCACTGATTTCAGTTTTGTCTGCCATTCACGTTCAGTGTACACTGCTAGAGAAGGAGGCAGACTCCATCTAATCTAATTGTACTGTCAATCGAGCTCCTGGGAAGGATGTGTTAGGATAGGCAATCTGAGTCTTTTCAGAACAGCTCTGATGTCCTATCCTGGGAGAAGAGGAATGCATTGCCCAGTACTAACATCTCTGGCTGAGCTCCACTTCAGGAGGAGCGATGAAGATGGTCATTCTCAAGATTCTTCCTCCCTTTCGCCAAAGCTTTTGGAGGAGAGAGCCCTCCTCAACTGTGGAAACCCTTGCCAACCTCAACAAGGTGGCAAACCTCCAGTGCTATGTTACCTTCAGCGTTATGGGGAACCTTCTCAAATGCCTACCGAAGAAAGCACAGCATGTTAGAGCAGCTGCATTCTCCTCCTGCAACTGGCTGCATACCTCTCTCCTCCATTTCCATTGAACATTCACACATACAGGCCACAGACAGCTCTGAGTGTGTTAAGGTGGGGGAGATATGCCTCATAGCTTACCGCCCCTTTGCCTTTTTTCTCTGTTTACTTCTGTTCTTGCCATTCTGCAGAGGGGAGTATCTGGCCTCCCCTATACTATAACATTTTAAGTCCTAGATGTGTTTAATTTTTAATATGTATTTATTATACAGTAGATAATTTTAAGATGCTGAACTTGCTTTCTCTTAAACTGTGAACTAGCCGAGTATAATGGAGAGTTTCATCAGGAATACTGGCATAGCAACAGGGCATGGAACATTTGATGGTTGCCTGCTCTGCTCATTCCCTCTGAAACACCTGGCACTGGCCACTGTCGGAAGACAGGATACTGGGCTAGATGGACCTTTGATCTGACCCAGTATGGCCATTCTTATGTTCTTATGTAGAAATTAGAGATCTGCCTGACCTTGAATACTTGACCAATTTTTGTTCTACTGAACTTCAGGTATGTTTGGATATGTATTTACATCGCAAACTCAGCTTCATGGCTCAGGACTATCTCTATAATGGGCCTTAATGGGAACACCAAACTTTAGATTCAGATCTAAATCTGAGCTTCCCTAAAGTGTCTCATCCTGCTGTACCCACTGAAATCAATAGGAGCTTTGCTGCAGACATCTAGATCGGAGCTCCATGGCTGAGGCCTATCTCTAACAGTTTTGTAAATGAGGGCCTGATTCCAGTCTCACATAGTCCAGTGCAAATCAGGAATAAGTCTACTGCAGACAGTAGAGTGGAACCAGTGTATGGTGTGTGCCCTTCTTGACAAGATCAAACACTCAGGAGCAGATCCTCAGGCCTTTCAAATCTGTCTTGTGTGCTCCACTGATATAAAGAAATTCCCCATGGTTTTGGGGTGTGACTAAAGAAAATGGGGGACCAGAGTTCCCTCCCTCTCCAGCAAACCCCAGCTGCCAGAACAATTTAGAACAGTCTTGACGCTGTTCTAAAAACACTCCTCAAGACTGGAATGAGGTCTAATATCCTGAGGAGCAGAGAGCCACAAAATACCCCCCCACACACACTCAATACCTGAAAGGCTCTGGCCCCCTATATACTAGTGTACAGGTAATCTTCCATTAATGTCCTCACCAAGAACATTCCCCAGAAGGACATATTAGTCTTTCTAGATCAGGGGTTGGCAACCTCTGGCACGTGGCTCGCCAGGGTAAGCACCGTGGCGGGCCAGGCCACTTTGTTTACCTGCCGCGTCCACAGGTTTGGCCGATCGCGGCTCCCCCTGGCCATGGTTCACCACTCCAGGCCAATGGGGGCAGCGGGAAGCTGCAGCCAGTACATCCCTCAGCCTGCGCCGGTTCCTGCAGCCCCCATTGGCCTGGAGTGGCGAACCGCGGCCAGTGGGAGCTGCGATCAGCCGAACCTGTGGACGCGGCAGGTAAACAAACCGGCTCGGCCCGCCAGGGTGCTTACCCTGGCGAGCTGCGTGCCAGAGGTTGCCGACCCCTGTTCTAGATCAT